CGCCTGCAACATAGTCCAGAGCACCCCCCTCTTCCAGGCACAGCCCAGAGGGTATAAACAGGCTGGAGGCCAGAGGGGCAGACAGTCCTAAGCGACAGCAGCCTGACGCAGCCACTGAGACACCATGAGATCCCTCACCCTCCTCACCCTGCTGGCCCTGGCTATGCTTTGCCTCACTGGACAGGCAGGTGAGTGTCCCCTCTACTAGGGTGTCTCTCAGCTGTTAGGGGAAAGTGCCATGGCCCCTCCTATTGGCAGTCCCTTCTGCAGTCTAACCATCTTCCTGTAGCCTCAGTCTATTTGCCCCCAGCTCCATCCCTAGAGAGAAAGGAAAAGCAAGCTGCCAGAGAGGCAGGGAAGGGAGGATGAGGGCCCTAGGCCTGAGCAGAGGTGAACCAGCTCCCTTTCCTTTACAGATGGGAAGCCCAGCAGCACAGAGTCTGATAAAGGCACAGGTATGAGCACTGGCCTGGGGGGCTCTCAACCCCAACTCTCTCACCCTGGTCCTGTCAGTCCCCTTTCCCTACTCCTGGCACCTCCTGTCTGCTGTTGGAAGGCGGTCCAGTCCTACTCCTCACCTGACCACTGCTCCTCTGCTCCACAGCCTTCATGTCCAAGCAGGAAGGCAGTGAGGTGATAAGGAGACCCAAGCGCTACCTGCATCACTGGCTGGGGTGAGAGCAAGGGAGGTGCTGGCCAATGCCCTGCATCTCCAGGACAGGCCAGGAAGAGTTACAGCAAGGAGTGGCCTCTGTTTGGCTAGGGGGCAGGGATATAGGCAATCCTTGCTAGTTGGGACCCTGGAGCCCCATATGGGTGGCAGGGGAGGGGAGCATTTTGCATAGGGGCTGATGCCATTTTGTTGGGTATCTCAGAGCTTCAGTTCCCTACCCGGATCCTCTGGAGCCCAAGAGAGAAGTATGTGAGCTCAACCCGGACTGTGATGAGCTGGCTGACCATATTGGCTTCCAGGAGGCCTACCGGCGCTTCTATGGCACAGCCTAGGCCACCAGCCTGCTGGCCCAGCTAGCAATTGCAGCTCTGCCTCCTCTCCAGTCTCCATCCTCTCCCCGTGCCCTGACCTCCCTGCCCTACAAGTGTGGGGTCCCCATCATCCCAGCTGCTCCAGAATAAAACTCCAGAAGAGAAATTGGTGGCCCATGGTCTGTCTTGCCTGAGGAGAGTAGGAGGGATGTGTTGGAAGGATGAGGGTACAGTTTTACATTTAGTCCCAGAAAGTGTTTCCCAAAGGCTGTTATTTATTTGTGCCTGCCTTATTCCAGGAGGCATAGAAGGTGGCTTCATAAGGCTTAAGTGTGGTCACCCCAGCCAACCTAGCACTTTCCTCCTACCTCATCTACTGTGCCGTCAATGACACACCTAGATGGTCCCAGTGCCCAAATGCCTGGACACCTCAAGTACACAGTCAGAACCAGAACAGACAGACTCACCTCTATGACAAATAGCTGTGGACAACTGGGCACTACCTGTTTGGGGGTTAACTGCACTAGCATGGACCTGGGTTAATCTTATTAGTGCTTCACTAGGCTTGAGGAGAGACTTCAGGAGCACCAGACATGGGCCAGATCAGAGGTCCAGATGTTTCCCCATCCCAGTCTCTGACAGGGCCTGGGCACAGCCCCAGCCTGGACACACACCTACCCTATCAGGCCCCCAACACTTCCCCATTCCCCAAAGGGGCCCCTCCTGGTCCCTCTCACTCTCTGCTAGCCCCCCACATACACACACCAAGCCCCCCAAAACCCCATTTCTCCACTGCCCTCTGTCCTGTCTGTCCTTGGCCACTTTTAGTTCCAGGCTGAAATGTGACTCCATCTCTCAGGCCCAGGTCTGGGCTCCCCCCCTGCAAGGGGTTCTGGCCTCTGCCTTCCTCCAGGACAGGGTCAGGTCAGGGATGGGTCCTCACTGTTGTTTGACCTGGGGGCCCCCCTCCATTGGGCTACCCTGCAGCAGAGGGCATGTACCAGGAGCCCGCAGCAGGGAGGCTGTGAAAGCAGCAATGATGAGCAGGTTTCCAGCCACTGCCAAGCTCAGTGTGGCCACTGTGCCTGCCAGGTCCAGTGGGGGTTCTTGTGCGGCCAGCCAGGCTTGATGAGACCCCATGTCAGCCAGCACAGCTTCCAGCTGAAAGTGGGTGCCCAGCACTGCACAGATGTGAAACAGCTGGTGGCTGTGGCCTGTGGGGAGGAAGGCAGGTCAGGGCATGTTCGACCCCATCCTCTGAGCCTGCTTTTCTCCTATAAATTGGTAGTAAGGGGAATCCTGGCTCCCAGGGTTACTGGAAGGAGCGAGTGGGGTGGGCATGCTTGAAGCCCCAGCGTACATAGTACAAGAACGGTAGCTGATGGGCCTGGACCCTTCCAGCCATGCTTTCTAGTGACAGGAAGCCAGGGCAGCCTTCCCGTCTTTTGCTTCCACCCTCAGCTCACTGCGCTGGAAAGCTGTGTCTCCCAGGCGGCGCCTGTGGTGCAGGGCGCCGGCCCTGGCCAAACTGCAACAAAAAATAGCCCACTCCTGTGGTGGGCGCCTGTGGTCCGAGCTATTCCGGAGGCTGAGGCAAGAGAATCGCCTAAGCCCAGGAGCTGGAGGATGCTGTGAGCTTTGTGATGCCACGCCACTCTACCGAGGGCGATAAAGTCAAACTTTTTCTCTACCAAAAAAAAAAATGGCTGTGTCTCCCGCCCTACGGGCCAAGTCACTGCTCTCACCAATATAGTCAAAGCGTCCTGGTGCTAGTCGCTCGGGCAGGTGGGAAGCGAAGAAGAAGCCGGTGAGCAGCGCGCAGAAAAGATGGTAGCCATGGCTGCTGCTCAGCGCCTCTTGGCCACAGCTGTGGCTCCTGCCCCAGCACAGCCCGAGCTGGGAAAGGACAAGCGGGTGCTAGTGGGGAGGACTCCAGAGGGGAACTGAGGAAGCTCAGGGACCTGGCCAGGCTGTGGATGGGGCGCGGCCAGACCGGGTGTGGGGGCGGGGCTGGCCGGGGCGGCCTTACACGGTAGAAGAGCGGCAGGTTGTCGAACAGGAAGGGATAGGCAAAGGCTGCAGTTCGCAGGACCTTACTGAGCCCGGGGCTTTCCAGCTCTGGGAAGCTGGGAGGCGGGAGAGAAAGGCTGGTCACCATCCCTGCTCTCGAGTAGTGGCCAGAAAAGGGCGAGGGGACCTGGGGCCAGGAGGAAGTGTCAGTGCAGCTTAGCTAAGATCCCTAAGGGCACACGGCCCCTCTGAATGGCCGCATCTGTACGCGGGATAGAGACAGTGGGGACGGTGCTGGCGCCCAGGGTTAGGCGGTGAGCCCTCCATACGTGGCCCGGGTGTCCCTAACTTGTTCTAGAGAGCGAGGCGTGTCCCCTCCTGGACCCCTGGCCCCGGCCCCTGCGGACGCACCGGGAGTAGCAGGAGAGGCCGGTGCACAGGAGGGAGTTGAGCGCGGCGGCGGGCACGAAGAGCTGGTGCAGGCGGCCGTGCAGCCAGGAGGCCGGCATGGAGTAGGCGGCGTAGGGGAAGGCGCAACCTGCGGGGGTGCGGACGGGAGCTGAGTGGGCGCCACGCCCCACCCCTCCCCGCGGGCTGCCGGCTCACCCAAGCTGTAGAGGCTGAGCGCGCCGTAGTCCAGGAAGAAGCAGATGTGGCGTGCGCGCGGCGACATGGCGCTGAAGGTGTGCGCGCAGCAGGACGCGAAGGGGTAGAGGCAGGCAGGCAGCAGGAAGATGAGCAGCGGCCTCTGAAAGGGCTCCGCGCCCCGCAACAGGCTCAGCAGGCGCCACAGGAAGTACCTGCGGCGGGTACGCGCTCAGGTCCCCGGGCTGCCCTCTGGGCGCCAGGGGCGACCCTGGCAGACCTCCCCTCACCAGGTGGGCAGGAAGTGCGTCCAGATGTTGACCGTCTCATTGGTCATCTGGAAAGAGCTGAGGACACAGTCCAGGGCCGAGCTGGTGGGGCGGCGGTACCCAGACACGATGCCATCTTCCCAGAATACCTGGGGCAGTGGTGGGAGGTGGGCAGGGAAGTCACTGCGCGGACCTCTCCTACGCTATCTCTGGCAGCAGCGTTGAGGAGAGGCTGGAGATCGCAGTGGCTCCAAAGCCAATCTGAATGCGACCGCGCTCTTACCACAGGTCCCAATACCCACAGAGCAGTGAGAAACAAGAGGCAGAATAAGGACAGACAGGACACTAGGGAAGAGACTGAGTGGAAGGGCTCCCAGCTCTAGGAAGGGTCCATGCTCCAGTCCTCAGAGCAGAGGGAGAAGAGCTGGCTGGAGGGCTGCTCAGTGGCTAAGGGAGAAGAACCTGGGTCTCACCCTGGGGACCTGGTGGACTCGAAGGAGCTGGGGCAGCTTGAGACTGAGCATGGTGGCCCCGAACCTCCACGTTGACCTAAAGATGGGTTTGGGGGGATCAGGTCTCTGCGCTCAGCCACAGGCCCCTTTTCACCCAGCTTAAGGCTGCCAGACCACTGAGCCCTGGGGCCACTTCCTTCAGGCCTCCCCAGTCACATCATGTCACCCCCCACCCCATCTTAACCTGGGGGCAGTCTCCCACTAACAGGGGCCTGCAGCCCTGGGTGAATGGATGGTCCCCCCAGCTAGTACCCCCAGCCCACCCACCCCCAGAAGGCCAGCAAAGCCCAGGCCTCCCACCCCACCAGAAAGCATTGGAGACTACAGCCCCCAGCCAAGCAACAGAAAACTCCTGGGTCTCCAGAACTCCTCAGAAGCGGGACACCATCAGAAGGCGCAAGGAATTCAGGGATGCTTGGTTCTTCTCTGAGGACTACACTTGTGCCCGAGTAGTAGTTGGGATCCCTGCCCCTCCTGAGCCCAGTGCCCCTCAGCCCCAGACCTGTGCTCTGCCTCAGGGTGGCCTGATCTGCTGCCCCACCCACCTCTTCAGCCACCACTCTCAGCACATTCCTTGGCACAAGCGGAGGGGCTGGACCAGCGGGGAAGGTGGGGCAGCGCCCAAGGAAGAACTGGAGGCACAACCCCAGCCAAACTTCCAGCTACTCTGCAGCCCACCCCCCTCCTGCCACCAGCTCAGCTTCACTGTCCATCTGCCTGTTTTTGCTGCACACACTGCACCCCTGTCCTTCAAGCTTGGGGGCTCTCTGGCCCTGAGCTGGTTGCTGAGAACCCTGCTGGGCACAAAACAAACTTGGCCCCTTATCCCTTAAAGTTGCTACCCCTTCCCAGGAGTGAGTAGAGCTGCCTATCTCTCTGAGGGGGTATAATGGAGATGCTGGGCTCTGTGTCCCCTCAGTGGCCTTCCTTTAGGTGGGTTTGGATTTCATGCTGCTGCAGGGCAAATGGGGGGCTGGAGCAGGCACTGTATTTCTCTTTCCCCAAAGTGTATCAGAGCCACAGGTGGGCTTCCTTACCCAGAGCTGGCAGATGTTTCCAAGCTGGCGGGTCAGCAGGCTGGGGAGCTCCACGGGTGGAGTCCCAGGTCCTGCCAGCTGGGCTGATGGAGGGAGAATGGCCAGGCCTGGGCGGGGAATGGGGAGACAAAGGGAGCTAGGAACAATCCCAGCCTTGTCCAGCCTCCAGTGAGCTGCACGGGGTGGCCCAGCCCCATTAGCAGGCAGCTCACTCGGCCTCCTACAAACAGCCAGCCTCTTCAGCATGACTCCATGTCCCTGTGCTGACTGGCAGGACAGGCTAGAGGCCCAAGCCAGAATGTGGCCCTAGCGCTGTGGAGTCCCGCCCCACCTCAGAGCAGTGCACCCTGATTACAGGTTCTCTCAAGCATCAAGGATAGCTCTGCCCTATGTATGCCAGGCAGAGAAATCTAAATCCCTGTATTTTGACTAGGTTTCAGAAGCCTCTGTGCTTTTCAGGGTTCAGTGCAAATGGCTCAGCCATAAGAGATCTGCCAAGCTTATTGCCCCAGTGACATAATCTGAGGGGTTTAGTCCTTGCAAGGACACACATCTGAGAACTCAGGCTGAAAACTCTCATCTCCTTGAGGATGCTGTTGAAGATAGCAAACTCATCCCTACAGCACTGTTGCTGGTAAAATACTTGCACTTTTGTAAAGGCGCCACATCAGTTCCCAGGGCCCCTGGACTGGACATCTATCATGGAACCACCCCCTAGGGTAACCATTCAAACTGCCTGTGCCTAGTTCTGTCCCATCCACTTCAAAGAAGCCATCTCCAAATGCACTCCAGCAGACCAGCTTTCGGGTCCCACTCCTCCCAATGAAACTTCTGCACAGACACACAAGACATGAAGGCTTGGGCAGGGGTCTTTATTAAAAGTGATGCTTCAGTCTCAGTCTCTGTCAGGAACTGGGGGACCACGACTCCCCTGGGTTTTCTCAGACTTGTTGTCTCAGAGGATGAAGCAGAAGCCAGTTCCCTCAAAGCGCAGCTGGGAGCTGGGCCAGCACTGAGGTAGGGTGAAGCAGAGCTGAGATCCCCCCAGCCCCCAACTACACCCCAGCCTGAGGGAGAGGGGCAAGGTAGCCCTGGCCAAAGCCTCCCTCAAGTAGCCCTGCTCTTGGCACGCCATTCACTGCCCTGAGCTATTCATGATCTCTGCCCCCACATGTGCACCTGACACCCCACAGCCAGCCCCACACACAGCCCTTCCAGGACAGAGGACCCCTGACCAAGCAGCTTCGAGGGGCCTCTCCTTCTGTTGCCCAGCAATGGCCAACCCCTGTCTCAGTAAGGGGTGGCCTCAGGCAGCACCCCTTTTCCTCACTGGCATCCCACTCTGTCCCAGCACAGCAGCAGAGCGCAGTGCTCATGGGCAGTGCACACAGGCACTGCATGCAAGCAGGCCACACAGCCCACAGGCCTGGATGGGGCCTACTCCCCACCCTGGCAGCCAGACAGGGAGACAAAGAACAAAAGTGCAGTGACTGGGTGCTGGCAGAAGGGGTGTGCGAGCCCCAGACCTGCTACCCGGTACAGGCCACTCCAGGCCATGCTCCTGTGAGAGCCCCCGTGGCTGGCCCCCAAAGCTGCTCAGCCCCTGCAAAAGGAGATGAGGAAGATGGTCCCTGAGGGGGAAGGGTCTGCAGAGAACCAGCCAGATACCTAGTATTACCCAACTCTTCCCCCAGGACCTGGAGGGTCCAAACTCCTGGCCCCAACCACCCTGCATCTTGGATGAGGAAGAAGGGCCCCTTCCACTATTCCTTCTGCTCAAGTGTCCAGGAACCACTCCAATGAAATGCAGATACCCACGCCTGCCACCTACCCCTAGGGACAGCAGGGGAGTCGAGGCAGGAAGGCTGGCTACGGGACCACAGGACTCTCCTGCTCCAAGCACTGTCTTCCTTTCCTAATGTCATCTTGGCAACAGGGGGACCCCACCCTCCCAGCTGGCTCCCGGGCCCTCCCTGCAGCCTCTGCACAGCTAGGCCTCCTTCCTATGTGCGAGTGTGCGTCTGAGTGGTGGTGGGGTGGCTACAGGTGGTATCCTGGCTGCCAGGGAGGGCAGGAGAGATCTGGAGTCAGCCCCACTCAGGGCCTGGAGGTCAGTCTCAACCAATCTCTTTCCACTGCTTGTAGAAATCTGTAACATTCTTGATGTCCACACTGGCATGGGCAGCGGCCTGCAGGGCTGCCTGTGAAATGTGGGAAGGAAAAATGGGGCAGGCTTGACCTCCTGAACTAAGGGACAAGTGATGGAGGGATTGGGGAAGGAGTGACAGAAGAGGGAAGGGCAGCTATGTGAGGAGTCTGAGGATGGTGTCTGCTCTGGCACCTCTTCCCTATCCCATCCCCACCTCACCCATGACCCACCTGCATAGGGCCTGAAAGCACACTGGGGTTGTCCAGTGGAAGGCCTGTGATGATGGTCACCATGCCGCTTGGGTCCTCCTCGCCTGCCCCCTGGGCCAGTGTCAGCTGTTTGCAACTGTCTAAGATCTTATAGAGAGTCCTGGCAGGGCAGGGGTGACAGGGGAGGGAGATGGGCCCAAACCTAGCATTAGCACCACCAAACACCAGGATCTCCAGGGGATAGGGGAAGCCACCGGCTGGAAGGGCTCCCTCTGAAGAGAATAGCTTCAGAATCCCCTGGGCCTGCCCCACCCACCTCGGGAGTGCCCACAGAGATGCAGGCAGGTGCTGACTGAGGTTTTAGGGCAAAGATGAAACGTTACCAAGCGTCTGCATCCTGCCTCTTCAGCTTATGCCGCTCGAAGCTCTTTCCTGCTTCCTTCTGGCAGCGAATGTACCTGTGAAAGAGACGGGAGGAGGAGGGCTAAGGAGAAGGGGGGCATCTTGCACAGATCAGGCTCTTGTGCTGGGGAGCCCATTTTGCAGGGGGATGGGGACACATCTCTCCTGTCTGTAGCCATTTCAAAGAGACTTCCTGGCCACTGGGCCCAGCTCACTTTTCCTCCTGATAACATCAATTCTTTGATTCCTCCCTGGGGAGGAACTGGGCGGGGAGAAGCAACAAATGATTTTCACGTCAGGACTTCTGGAGGCAAGGTCCAAACAAGTAGGCTTTGTGCAGCTTCCTGGCCAGTCAGGGCAGATGCAGAGGAGAGGGCCAGCTGGCAGGGAGAGGGGATGCTTTCTCCCTCTGCCCAGCCTTCATCCAGCCCCACAGGCCACAGGACATCCCTGCACCAGGCTGAGCACCTGCCCATGGTGCCCACCTGCTCACTTCTGGCTGCCCCAGTCTCACCACTGCCTCAGAAGGGAGGTGGGAGGCTCCTGGGCAGCCCTGAAGAGGTTGCTCCCACCCTGGCAACTGACCACCTGTCCCAAACCTGAAGCAGGAGATACTCCTCCAACAAAGGAGCCCACAACCTGAAGGTGGGGTGAGGGGTCTGTTCCCTTCTCCTCAGTGGGTGCTGATCACAGGTTATGTTCCCAGGACACTTGAGGTTAGCACCTCGGGCCCTGACAGCCACCTATGTCTGTAGCAGCCTCCCTAGGGAGCAGCAAACCACAAGCAGGGGCTGAGGACTATGTCCTGCCCACAGAGAGCAAGGAGCTCACAGGCCTGTGTTGTCCAAAAGGCCTCAGGACAGGTCTAGCTGAGCCACACTCACCTGTTTCCTTTTTTAAACTCAGCCTCCAGGTACCGGATCCCATCCCGGGCCCCTGGGTGTTCCTTCTTCAGTAAATCCAGGCCATCAATCACTGGGGGGAGGGAAGGACAAAACAGACTGTTGTCACATGGGGCTCCACAGGAAGCTTCGGAGCTAACCCTAGAACACACTGCAGGAAGAACCGAGACTGTGGCTCTGTACACGTTCCTCAAGTTCTGTGGAAACATGCCTGCCAGTTATACACTTGGAAGCTTACTCACCAAGTGCCCTTGGTAGAGTGCTATGGTGTCACAGCTTACAACAATCTCAAATTCTTGAGCTTAAGCAATTCTTTTGCCTCAGCCTCCCAAGTAGCTGAGACTATAGGTGCCTGCCATAGCACCTGGCTATTTTTTTGTTGCAGTTGTCATTGTTGTTTAGCAGTCCCGGTTTATATAGCCGGCGCCCTAACCACTGAGCAACGGGCACCAAGCCGACACTTAAACTTTCTCAGCTATGTCCCCACTGTCTTGTGAGGCATACCCGGACTGCTACACCCTCTGAAAAGCAGGAGGGCAGCTTCAGAGAGATAGTGAGTCCTGACTAAGGTCTTTGCATATAAACTGGACCTCAAATGAGGGTCTCTTAATCCCAAGCCCAGAGGCTCTTTTAGCTGTGCTTTTTCTGTCTCCCTTTCCCTCCCAACATGCTTACCTGTCCTTGGAATGATGACAATGAAACGCCCACTAGTGGCCAGCTGGCGGATTACAGGGAGGTGGTGGCAGAGAGCCTGGGTGTCAGGGACCAGGTAGGGAGACATAGCTGACTGGGCCTTGGGCTGCTGCAGGCTGCCCTCCAGCTGAGAAACCTCCAGCTGGGGAGAGAAGGCAGAGGTGGGGCTGTGTGGGGCCTGCAGGAGGGGTGGGAGCACAGGGGTGCTCACGTGGCCCTTCCTATTGCTAAGGGGGACAGGGAACCCTTTCTGCCAGTGGTCTTAGGGGAAAAATAGACAGAAATAAAGGTTAAGGGAAAGAGAAAAGGAAAGAGAAAGAGAAGTGAAGGGACAAAGGAGGCAATTGGCTCAGGGAAGAACAAGTAAACTGGGCAGGACCTGGGAGAAGCAAGAGGCACAGTGGCACACAGCAGGGGTCTGCAGCTGAGGCAGGAAGAGCTGCCAATGGGGTTTAAGCAAAGCTAGAGTCCAGCTCATCCAAAGGGTTTGTGAAATCTGGATTTAGTAAAAAAGCCCAACTCAAGTATACAGAAAGCCTGTGTGGCCCCGAGACTGCAGGTTCCCCACCCATGAGGCAGACCAAGAGCAGGGAGAGCAGCCAGCCCTGCCTTTCTACCTGAAGTCGTAACTGGGCCATGTCTCTCATCAGCCGATTCCGACGAGCTTCCTCCTGTGCCTGTGATGGGAAACACAGCTTATAAGGCACTGAGAGTACAATCCCCTCTCCAGGGATCAAAAGACCAAGAGGAACTCCTGGGATCTGAAACACGTGTGGCCTTGTGTAAAGTCAACTCTCTATAACTCCTGCTAAAAAGGGGAAAGAGAGGACAGAAGAGATGCCCTCTGCTGTGCTCTAAACCACGCCTGTCACCAGCCCACTGTAGGCCACACTGCTCTAGGCACTGAGGGAGGAAGCAGCAGCTGGCTGTGCCTTGAGTCTATCTCACTGCCCTGCTCCTCCCCATCTGCTGCCCTGTCCTAGCAGCTCCCAGATGCTCCCTTGCCTGTTCCCCTCACCTCCTTGCCAGCATCATCCAAATCTGCAGATCCAGCCAGGCCTGGCCACCAAGCCCAGACCCATACAGCTGCCCACTCAGCAGCGCCATCTGCTCAGAACCTACTTCTCCTCCCACAGCATTTCCTAGCTTGGTAAGTCCCTCTGCACTAATCAGAAAGCTCAGGGTAGGGCCGGGCATGGTGGCTCACCCCTGTAATACTAGCACTCTGGAGATGGATGGATTCCCTGAGCTCAGGAGTTCGAGATCAACCTGAACAAAAGCAACAAAAGCTACTTAAAAAAAAAAAAAAAAAAGTAGAAAAACTGATCCAAGAGGATTATTTGAGCCCAAGAGTTTGAGGTTGCTGTCAGCTATGATGCCATGGCTCTTCCCAGGGCGACAGCCTGAGACTTTGTCTTAAAAGGGGGCTGGCTGGCTCAGTGGCTCACACTTGTAATCATAGCACTCTGGGAGGCTAAGGCGGGTGGATTGTTTGAGCTCACGAGTTCAAGACCAGCCTGAGCAAAAGCAAGACCCCTTCTCTACTAAAAATAGAAAGGCAAGGGCAGTGCCTGTGGCTCAGTGATTAGGGCGCCAGCCGCATATACCAAGGGTGGCGGGTTCAAACTCGGCCCTGGCCAAACTGCAACAAAAAAATAGCCAGGGGTTGTGGAAGGTGCCTGTAGTCCCAGCTACACTGGAGGCTGAGGCAAGAGAATCACCTACGTCCAAGAACTGGGGGTTGCTGTGAGCTGTGACATCACAGTGCTCTACAGAGGGCGACAAAGTGAAACTGCCTCAAAAAAAAAAAAAATGAGGCAAGAAGATTGTTTGAGCCCAAGTTGGAGGTTGCTGTGAGCTATGATGCCATAGCACTCTACCCAGGGCGACAGCTTGAGACTCTGTCTCAAAAAAAAGGAAAAGAATGCTTTTGAAAAGGAAAAGGTTAGCTTTGAGTCCTTCCTCTCTGCCCCAGAAGTGATCAGCTTCCCTGTCCTGTCAGTAGTGCCCTTTATGCAGCACACAAACCCTTCACTTCCCTCCACCTCCACTGCGAAACCTGTTCAAGCCCATACCCCTCTGTGACCACTACAACCACCTCCTCACCATCTTTGCCTCTGAGTGCAACTTCTCCTACAACCAAGGCAATCTTCCAGAAACCACCTGATGTCCATCACAACCCTGCCACAAAGTCCTTTCACTGTTTTGCTGTGTTCTAGATGAAATCCAAATTTATTAATATAGTCTGAAAGGTTGAGGATGGGGTCTTTTTATGAGGAGCCACTGAAAGCTCTTTGATAAACAAAGGGACGTCATAAGAGTAGTGCTTTAAAAATATTAATCTTATTCTAATCATGAGATGATACCAGACAACCCCAAATGGACAGAACTACAAAAGGACTAACAAGCATTCTCCACAAGTGTCAAGGTCATGAAAGACCAGGAAAATCAGGAACTATTCAAGATGGGAGGAGACTAAGAACACCTAACAATCAAATGTAGACTGGGCAAGAAAATGCTTGTAATCCCAGCACTCTGGAGGGCTAAAGACTGCTGAAGATCAGGAATTTGAGAGCAGCCTGAGCAATAGTGAGACCCTCCTCTAGTAAAAACAGAAAAATTAGCCGTGCTGGGGGTGCCTGTAGTCCCAGCTACTTGGGAAGCTGAGGCTGGAAGATCATTTGAGCCCAGAAGTTTGAGGTTCCTGTGAGCTATGAAGCTATGACACCAGGGCACTCTACTCAGGGCGACACAATGAGACTCTGTCTCAAACAAACAAACAAAAAAAACCACCTAGTACTGTGGGAGGCTGAGGCAGGTGGATTGCTTGATCTCAGGAGTTCCAAACCAGCCTGAGCAAGAACAAGATCCTGTCTTTAAAAAAAAGAAAGAAAGAAAGAAAGAAAGAAACGGGTGGCGCCTATAGCTCAATGAGTCCAGGGCATCGGCCCCATATACCGAGGATGGCAGGTTCAAACCTGGCCCCAGCTGAACTGCAACCAAAAATTAGCCAGGCATTGTGGCGGGAGCCTGTAGTCCCAGCTACTCAGGAGGCTGAGGCAAGAGAATCACTTAAGCCCAGGAGTTGGAGGTTGCTGTGAGCTGTGTGATGCCATGGCACTCTACCAAGGGCAACAAAGTGAGACTCTGTCTCTACAAAAAAAAAGAAAAAAAAAAAAGGTCCAGCAAGGTGGCTCATGCCTATAATCCTAGTATTCTGGGAGGCTGAGGTGGGTAGACTGCTTGAGTTCATGAGTTTGAGACCAGCCTGAGCAAGGGCAAGCCCCCAGTTCTACCAAAATAGCCAGGCACTGTGGTAGGAAACTGTAGTCCAAGCTACTTGGGAGGCTGAGGCAAGAGAATCTTTTGAGCCCAGAAGTTTTTTTTTTTTGAGCCTCAAGCTGTCGCCCTGGGTAAAGTGACGTGGCATTACAGCTCACAGCAACCTCCAACTCCTGTTCTCAAGTGATTCTCCTGCCTTTGCCTCCCAAGCAGCTGCGACTACAGGCACCCACCACAATGCCCGGCTATAATTTTTTGGTTGCACCCGTCGTTGTTTGGCAGGCCCCGGCTGGATTTGAACCCACCAGCTCAGGTGTATGTGGCTGGCACCTTAGCTGCTTGAGCCATAGGCGTCAAGCCTTGAGCCCAGAAGTTTGAGGTTGCTCTGAGCTATGCCGCCACAGGACTGTACCCAGGTCAACAAAGTGAGACTATGTCTCAAAAAAAACAAAACGAAAAAAACAACCAAATATAATGTGGCTTCCTGGGTTGGATCACAAACGAGAAAACAGACATTAGTGGGAAAACTAGTAAAATATTAATAAAGTCAATATTGGATAAACAGTGGCTCGGCATGGTGCCTTATACCTGTAATCCTAGTACTCTGAGAGCCCGAGGTGGGTAGATCGATTGAGCTCAGGAGTTTTGGGGGGCGTTTTTTGGTCACCTTTGGTAGAATGCTGTGGCGTCATAGCTCACAGCAACTTCAAATTCTTGGGCTAAAAACAATTTTCTTACCTCAGCCTCCCAAGTAGCTGGGACTACAGGCGCCCACCATAATGCCTGGCTATTTTTAAAGACGAAGTCTTGCACTGGCAGGCTGGTCTCAAACCTGTGAGCTCAGGCAATCTACCCACCTTGGCCTTTCAGAGTGCTAGGATTATAGGTGTAAGCCACCGTGACCAGCTGAGCTCAGGAGTTTGAGACTAGCCAAGAGCAAGGCTCCGTCTCTACTAAAAATAGAAAAATTGGCTTGGTGTCTGTAGCACAGTGTTTATAGTGCCAGTCACATATACCTTGGCTGGCGGGTTCGAACCCAGCCCGGGCCTGCTCAACAACAATAACAACTGCAGGCTTGGCGCCCGTAGCTCAGTAAGTAGGGCGCCGGCCACATACACCGAGGCTGGCAGGTTTGAGTCCAGCCCAGGTCCACTAAACAATGACAACTGCAAAAAAAAAATAGCCAGGCACGGTGGCGGTGCCTATAGTTCTAGCTACTTGGGAGGCTGAGGCAAGAGAATCACTTAAAACCCAAGAGTTTGAGGTTGCTGTAAGCTACAATGACACCACAGTATTCTACCTGACATGACAGTGTGACTGTCTCAAAAAAAAAGGTTAATAGTATTGTACCCAAGCCTAATTTCTTAGTTTTGATAATATACCACAGTTATGCAAGATCCATCCTCATCCCCGCAGAGTCTTGAAACAAAGAGTTGTCTTGCCTAAAATGGCAGCGTCTCTTTGAGCAGTATCAGCACACGAAGAGAGGAATGGAAGTAGACCAGAGCCCAAACAAGAGCCGTTTTCTCATCTGAGTCTTTTATGCTAAAATTGTAACTGTGAAGCCCATGTCTGAGTTAGGCATCTGGAGGCACTTGAGTAAGTCCCCTCCAGAACCAGTCCAACTGTTCACATATAGATAGGCCTGCATGCTCCTCAGAGGTCCTATCAGGAAACCAGATAGACATGGAGCCTCAGGCATGTGTTCTGCAGCTCTGGGCATCTACATGGCCTCAGAGAAGCTATGCCTCCTCAGCTGCACAGGAAGGCCAGGACAAAAACTTCAGGCCTATCTACCTCCAGAGCCCTGGCTGGCACCACTGACTATACCTTTCTTTTTTTTTTTT